AATTTGTACGCCTCTAGGAACTTTAGCATACCACATTGGTCCTGTCCATCTAAAGTGCCTCCCTGCTACTAGTTCTCCATCTTTATCTTTCTCCTGAGGTAGAAACGATATATGACAATAGTACAAAAGTTAAAAATAAAGAACATATATAAAAAAAAAAACTTTTTTTATCAAATATTCAAATTTCTAAAATTTTTTTTTTAGAAAATTTCCAAAAAAAAACCAAAATACATATAACCTTTAAAAAGTTAAAAAATATCCAATAAAATAAATAATACTTACTTCTAAATAATAAAATAGATAACTTTTGTTTTAAAAGTCAATTATTTTTTTTGTTTGTATAATTCTTTTAGAAAAAGATACAAAAATTCCTCAAAAAACAAACAAACAAAGTAAACAATTCATAATAAAATCAGAAAAAAAAAACTTGATATTAATTTTACAAAACTATTAGCCAATCATGTATCAGATTAGGTATCTTCCTAGATATTAATAAAATCTTATATTAACCAGATCATATTTGATAAATCAGATAATCTCGAACATTAACACAAAATTAAAAAAATATCAAAGTTTTCTTTTCAAATCTTAAATAAAAAAGAAAAAACAAAACAAATATATATTTCTATTATTTCTTTATATTTCATGTATTGTAAACAAATCTCACCAATTTCTAAAAACTAAAACCAGTTTGCTTCTTTCAAAAAATCAGTAATAATATAAACATATCTAAAAGCTAAACATATTTATTTTTAAAAAAACAAATAAAATATTCTTATAAATAACATAAGTACCAAAACAAATAAAACAGAAAATATAATACATGTACAAAACACATGTTTAGAAAACATGTCACTTAGTAGCAATTATACATGTTTTCTTATTACTATAAAAGGAAATTTGATTGATAATACAATTCTGAATTAATACAATTCCTATTACTTACTAATTGTTACTTAGTAATATGAATATAATATGGTTTTTAAAAAATGTCTGAATTAAATACGAACACATGTATAATAGCAATATAAAAATCAAGAATAAAATCCTTTTATTAAAGATTTTTAGATATGAGCAAGATAATTTTATAATTGTAAAATTATTAATTAACTTTATTAAAGGTCAAAATGGTATCCTTAAATATATTTTTAACATTACAACCTTTTTTAAAATAATAAATAAAATAAAAATATATAAATATTATTTATATATCAATATAAGGCTTAACCTTCTAAAATATATATGCATAATCATATAGAAAATATAAACATAATAAAATAAAATAAAATAGAAGATAAACAAAAAAAAAACAAAACTCATTATATATCAAATTAGTATAATTATAATCTCTTGTTAATTATATATAGCAAGATTACTATGAATACTATTAATAATTTAATTTATCTTTTAAAACACCATATGGTTTTGATAAATAGTAGCTCCAGCAATTATAGTATATGTCCAAGATTTCAAGTGATCAGCATCCTAAGTAAATTATAATTATTATGACATATATTTAAATTATTATATTTTCACCTCCTTAAGATTTGATATCCTCAATGATTTGAATTTTTTAATCAGTTGTTAAGAGTTTTTCACATTTTCCTCTAATTTCCAGGTGGCATCATATAATGGATATTGTATTTATTTTATCAAGTATTATATTTTTTCTTGGGTGATTCACTTGTTCAAAATAATTTCAACTTCATATTCCAACTTATTAGATCCAAATATGGTGATAGGTAGTGGTGATTCAACACATAAGAACTCATTTAGTAACTCATTATATGGCTTAGTATCGAGACATAAAAGATAAGAAATATTCTCATTGTTGTAGACAAGTTCAATTTGTATATAATTAATAAGATAACAGTAGAGATGTAGAATAGTTTTAGAAATTCCAGTATAGGTTTTCTTATAGGTCAGTTTTTATTCACAGAATTATTAATATTTTGTATTAACAAGAGAACTTTATTCCCAATGTTATATATAACATGATGATAGTATTGTTAGTATATAAACTTTGTTAATCCTGTACAATTATTAAAGCATTTTTTGTTATTTGAATCATATTGTTCCAGTGTTGAGTGAGATCATTTACAACAGATGTGTTGGTAACTTTTGTTACAAGTGGTATTGATGTAATAGAGTATTGTTCACAATTAATTTCAAATAATATATGTCCAGTAGATAGTAACATTGAATTGTTGTATGCAAACTTAGCAGCAGGTAAGTATTTATTCCATTGGTTCTGTTTGTAAGTAGTATAGACTCATAATATTTTCTCCAAAGTTCAGTTTATTCTTTTAGTTTGTTTATTAGTTTGTAGGTAAAAACAGTTGATATTGCAAGTTTTGTTTTCAATTATTTGAAGAGAAATATTCAAAAATGACTTATAAATTTGGCATTCTAATTCAATACAATTATTTTTAGCAGTCCATGGTGATGAAAGATATTATTGAAAAATATTTTTGCAACTTCCAGTGCAGTGACAGAGATATGTGTTGAACAGAAGTTGGCCCTTTTGGATAGTCAATCCACAAAAATCACAATTGCATCAAATCCTTGACCCGTTGTTGGTAATTGCATGATAAAATCCATGGTGATTTGTTTTTATCTCCTTTGAGGTGTTTTTAATAGTTGCAGAAGTCCAGCCAGTTGTTAATTGGATCCTTTGTTCCTTTGACAAGACTTATAGCTTGTCAAAAATTTATAAACATCCTTGCCCATTTTTGGCCAGTAGTTGTGCCTTCTCAGTGTTTTGTAGGTTTTATTGATATCCAGGTGCCTTGCAATTTTGATGTCATGGTGTTCCTGCAAGAGTTGTGTTTGAAGCCTTTTATTCTTTGGTATTGCTAATTATTGTTCTTGAAATATAAAAATATAAAATATCACGTGTTTAATATATGCTAGAGATAAAACTATTTAAATAATATTTTAATATGTTATATAAAATTTATCTATTTAAAGCATACTAAAATTTTATTGCTAGTTTTCGAAAAAATTCACAAACTATAAAAAAATAAGAATCATCACGAATTCGTGAAATTTGAGTGAAAAATAAAATAAAATAAATTTTTAAATATCAAAAATTTCAATATTTATTAATAAAAATACAAGTTTTTATTTACAGTCAAACCTGGATATAACGAACCTGTTTATAACAAAGCTATAATAAAATGCTGGTTATAACGAATTTTTGAATTTACTCAAAATTCATTATAAAAAGGGAATTTTATTATATAAATTTTTAAAAATTGTTTATACTGAATTTTAAACAATTTTTTTCAATTTTTACTAATTAGCCCGAAAGCTTCATTATATCTAAGTTTGAATGTAATTACAAACTTTATTTCTTTATTTTATTTTTTAATTATAAACTTTATTTATTTTATTCTTTCCAATTTCCAATTTTCGCCTTTTGATTTCCGGCTTTCGAAATTCCATATACCGGAAATAAAATCCGAAAATCTATTTAATATTACTACAGTACGGAAATTTCACTTGAAATCATTGTAGGCGCACCTGCGGCGAAAATAGCAACTAAAACTCTGCTGTTGCCAATTTAACCATCAATGGCAAAATACACTTAAAAATAGAAAACAATGGTGTCCATTTTGCATTGGTCGTTATCAAACAATTGAGGATATGTGTAAACTCGCACAAGTAAAAAATGGAGATTGCCTTTCAGATCAATACTATATAACTCACGTACCAAGCTAGAATGGATTTGTGAGAACAAATATCAATTCCTAATAGTATATTCAACAAGGAACTTGGTGTCCATTCTGCCCAAAATATAAGAGAGAAAAGCTGTGTCATGAGATTTTAACGAAGTATCTTGGTGCCCCTTCACCGATCCGCAGACCCGATTTCTTAAAGACACGAGAATATCCAAATGGACTAGAACTTGATATATTTTATCCGCAATATGGCTAAAGCATACAACACGAAAAATATCACGAATTCTTTCACGGAGATCCCGATAATTTCATTAAATAACGAGAGTGAGATGAACTCAAGAGGATTGCTTTAAGGTATGTCTGATATTACGAAGATCCATATATAGTTATTCCAGAACTTCTTCAAGAATTGGGTCTTATATTCGAAACATGAAAAAATAATCGTATAATTATAGAGCATTTAAAGTTTTAGGTTTACTTAATAACAAAAAATATACTTCCAACAAGTAGTAAAAAGTTTTATTATTCCGACACACGTTTCCACTGGATGCAGTTATATACGGCGAAATAGTTCGAGGTATAAAATTTGGTGCTTGCCTTCTAAAATTTTGGTTTGTTACAAATGATACAAAAAACAATTACAATCCATGAATGATTGACTTTTTAATCTAAGAATCTATATAATCCATGCTTAATGATCTTCATATTTTCTACCCTTCTTTTCTGGGCTTTGTGAAGGATTTCCGAATGATCCTCCTTTCTCACCAGCTTGTTCCGGATTCTTCCTTTTTCGATTTCTGTGTGCACGTGAATGTGCAAGCGAGACACTATTTGTGTGTTCACAAATAGTATTCAACGTGGTCTGAAATTGAGTGATCATAATAGTAAAATTCCAAACCTAAATATTATCAAATATAGTAATGATAAACATATAATACCTGCAGATCCGTAAAAAGTACATAGAAACTTTCGAGTACTGAGAGCGTTTTTAGGCTTTGAATGAGAAATACAACCAAGTCGTCCATTCCATATATATCATGAATCCATCCTTAGCAAAAACAAAGAAAAATCGTTAGTTGATGCAATTTCATTACTACAATCGTTTCTCCTGCTTAACTACCCCATGAGTGTATTCCAAGGACAAATGTAGAATGAATGTCAGAGCTAGGTGCTTTAGAATTCTCTCTAAAGAACGTATATAAGATATCCCACATTGCCACGCTTAGATCAACTTTGTCTTCGTAAATTTTTTTTTTATGAGGCTCTGGAAGTCCACCACTTCTGAGACCTATAAGAGCCTCAATGATATTATTTTTCAAAGTTCCTCGAAAGCGCACTTTTGTCCAATGCGAGCTCTGAAAACAACGGAGCGACCTTCATTTCGGCGATAAGCTGACGCCTAACATGCAATTTCTCCACTATAAGATTATGTAAGATAGAATTTGATTACATGAAATCAGACTGGTCATGTTGCTTATCTATACTTACACATCCATCTTTAGTTCCTTCCTATTTAAGAATCTTTTGGCAAGCATGTTGAGAAATGCATTGTCGAAGTCAGCCTCGGAAACGAAGATCAACTCTTTACAGATTTTCAGCACTATATGTGTAAGAATTGACCTTAAGGAAAACAAAATAAAGTTTTTGATAATTATATTTTACTCCACTCACTACGTGACAACAGCCCGTCTTAAATGGAAATACCATTTTTTTCCTCATCACTAAGCTCTACTTTTCGATTCGTTTCAATAATTTCTGGGGTTAATCCATCGATCGCGTTGATAATATCTTTATCATCTTTTTTTTGTGATCTAAATTGATCGGTTGCGTGAGGATTTTGATTTTCCCATTATCAGCTCAAAAATAGAAAAAATTTGTAAGTATATTGTTGATCAAAGCAAATGAGATAAAAAATAAAAGCAGTTGTTCTTCAGATAAGGCCGGCCACCAACTGTTACGGCGACTTGCCATTGCTGGCTTCCGACAGTATCCCTCTGTCGCAGACGCCTTATTTGCTAAACAACCCTCCGATAGCTCTAAGCGAAAAAGTCAGCCGGCCATCAACTGTTACGACGACTTGCCATTGCTGGCTTCCGACAGTATCCCTCTGTCGCAGACGCTTCCTTCTTGCTAACAAAAGCTATGGCTTATAAAGAGAAGAAAATAGCTACCCAACTTACCTTAAATAATATTCAACGAAGAATTTTTTATACGCACGATTACAAATGAGTTTGAGAGTATCACAACACTTATTCACGTGCTTGACAGAAGCGGATCAAAACATCCAGTTAGAAAAATGAATTAATCACATGGCGCAGTAGTCAGCAAATTAGTTATTTGAAATCTTATTGGAAGTAGCAAACTAGTATAGTTATCAAATTATATTACTGTATGTACTGGTTAGTATATAAAGTAAAAAAAAAGTCTTTTAAATGCAAAAAAAATATTATTTTATAGAATAGAAGGGTCTGGATTATACATATAATATAAATTATTTGCTGTTGCTATACTTCAATTATTTATGTTTTAATAGTGACTCAATTAATTATATCAAAAATTTATAAATTTCAGCAATATGTATAGTCTGAATATCATGTTTAATTAATACACTGATAATATTTAAAATGTATTAATAATTATTAATAGTTATTTTCAAAAAAATAAATTTGTTATATTTGATCTTATTAGATATATTATATTGTTGAATTTGTAAAAGAAAATAAAATTATGTCAAAAAAATAAAATATATATAAAAAATATATATAATTTATTTTTAATAAAAAATTTTCAGTAGTTATTTTTTTATCAAAGTAATTGTTATTGAAACCAAGCTCTCAAAGTCTTAAACTAAACAAAAAAGCAATATAAATTTTAAATATTTATAGATTGATTAAAGATTAAATAGTTATATAATATATATTTTAATCATAAAATATATATTATTAAAATTAAGATTTTTGAGACTCTAATTAGATAAGTTAAATATCAAATAATTAATATTTAAAAAAATATTAAAAGATCTTAAAACTTTTAAGATTTCAAACTACTGTATTGATTTTAATAATTCATAAAAAATTAAAGCTATTCTAACTATATATAAAAATACATCAATTTGATAAATAATAAACCTTTTAATATCAATTAAAAAATTTTTAAAATTATAAAATCTATAATAAAAATACTAGACAAAAAAGCTTTTAATTTGATTTGTCAATTAGTTTTTTTATAAAATCTAAAATAAAATAATAAAAAATTCAAAAAGTTGTAAATCTAAAATATATAAATTTAAAAAATAAAAAATAAAAAAGTTTACTTATACTCTCTATTGCTTTAATACTTTTTTTGTTAATTAAAATATTCTTAACAATATTAAGATTATAATTATAATAAAAATATTAAGCTTTTTATATATTTTATTAAATATTTAGATATTTATTATATAGTTTTATAAGTTTAAACAATTATACAAAATTTAATTATTTAAAATTAAATTAAAAAAAGCTATTATTATAGTTTTACAATTTAAACAATATACATATATTATTTAAAATTGATAATAAAATTGATTAAAACAAAATTTTATATTCTTCTTTAATTTATTTTTTTAATTTATTTTTTTTTGTAGGTAAACATCACTTCTTTATTTAATTTATATAGTGATAGATATATATTATGAAAAAAACAATATCTCTCATATGTAATAGTACAATGAATTAAATGCTAGCTTGCCTATAGTAATATTGAAAAAAAATTTTAAAACAATATATCTTATCAAGAGACTCCAAGCAGCTATAATTACCTACTTAGCATTAAATAAAAGAAAATTAAAATAATCTGAAATTAATTTGGAAATGTACTTGGTGAAATTAAATCTGCTTTGGATATAAGAATCAGTAACTAATATATGTAAATCTATAATAGTTAATGTTGAAGTGAAGGAGTTGTTGGGAGATTTGAGTTTAGCTAAGTTTTTGGTCACTTGTTTTGATATATTATTGTAGGAGTTATTGTTTCATTTGATACCAGTAAGAAGAGAAGTGTTTGTTATAGCACAGTGAGATATCCAGATTGATTTATATAGACAAGTTAAGGTCTCAGTTGAGGTTTTGACCCAGTTGGAGAAATTGGTAGTGGAGAAGATATTGTCAGTAATGCTGCATACCAGTTCTGCTAGCTGCCAGGCATGTGAGATTGGCTTGTAGTCATCATTGGAGTGAAAAATATTGTTGATGGTATTGATAAATTGGTTAATATCTCCTGAAGCTAAGGATCCTAACGATTCTCTTCAATTCTGTATTCAATTCTCAAGTTTATATTAAATTTAATAGGTGGGATATACCCTATCATCATTTTTAATAGTGTTCCAAACCTTATGCGATTCTGTTTGATTCTATTCGATTCCAATTTTCGGAACCATACCTGAAGCTAATGGATATTTGAAGACATGTTTGATATCCTCAGTGTATAGACTATACTGGAGACAATATGGGTCAAGATATTGTTCTGAATATAATTTGTGAAGGTTTTTTCTTATAGGAAGAGTTTCTGAGAGCAATTTGATTTTGAAGACAATGAGATCACTGTACTTATTAGCTTTGGAATTCTTTATTTTTTGGTTGGATTTGTTAATGATCTTAAGGCCATGAAGTTTGTGGATATAACCAAATGTTTTTAGAACTGATAAGCTTTTACAAATTATATAGGTCTTGATAATGTTTAGGATTTTTTTGTACCATTTGACACTGCTGTCTAATTAAGAATCCTAACAATTTTCTTCGATTCTGTATTTGATTCTCAAGTTTATATTAAATTTAATAGATAGGATATACCCCATCATCATTTTTAATAGTGTTCCAAACCTCATACGATTTTCTGCAATTCTGTTTTATTCCAATTTTCAGAACCATATACCTAACTACATATTGTTAATTAGAGGATTTTCAGAGAAGTGAAGTAGCAGCTTGATCCATTGAAGAGTATTGTCAAATCTTGAATTGAATTTGGGACTGGTATATATGATTTAAATTGATTTGTCTTGTATTAATTTGTTAATTCTTAATAATATTAGAGTGAAATTGATTTTTGTTATTCTTCTTGGATAGTTGAATACTTTTTGAAGAATTTTTTTATTGCTTCTTATTTTCATGATGCAGTTTGATAGGCACCAGTGCAAAATATCCATTATTATATAAAAAAAGTATTCTAGGTGATGTCCTGGATTAGTTGGAATAATTTTTGTACTGTTTGCAAAGATCTTGCTTTGGTAAAGTTGAAGGTGGTACTATTTGCAAAGATCTTGCTTTGGTAAAGTTGGAGGTGGTACTGTTTACAAAAATCTTGCTTTGGTGAAATTGAAGATGGTACTGTTGGCAAAAGCCAATTCTTTAAAATGTAAAAATGGAAGGAGAAATGGAAAAGTTATTAATGAATTGAAGAATATCTTCTCCTTGTTGTGGTATGATTGACAGTTTACTGATTATATTGTATAGTCAGTATTTATTTGGACTGTTGGGGTTTGAGACTATTCATAATGACGATGCTATAATGCTTATGAAAGACAATATACAAAAGCCAGCAAAGAGTAATTCTAGTGAACAGCCATTGCACTTAGACAAAACATTGTTTGAATTGATAGAGTAGTTCTTTAATTTATTTTTTATAATTTATAATTTGTTTTATTATTAATAATATTATTAACAAGTCAATTATTTTAATATTTATAAATAATATAATTAAAATCAATTATTATATATAGATTCTCTAAATAGTTATTATGTTTTTTATTTTTATTTTTTAATTTAATTAGATATAATAAAATCAAAACAAACTTAATTATAAATTTCAAAAATAAATTAAATTAAAAAACTTTTTTTTTCACAAAAAAATCAAAAATTTTTTTATAAATAAACATTATTTCTTTATTTAATTTGTATTACATATTGTTAATGAAAAAAATGCTCAGATAAGACTCAACAATGCAATGTTTACATAACATATCTAATTGGAACAATAAAAATATTTTAGTAAATAATATTTTATAATATAATAGTTTATAAGTTATAATTATAATATATTAGTTAGCAATAGTAATAGCAATATAAATAGAAGTAAAAAAGTATAAAAAAAATAACAACACTTTTAATCAAAAATAAAAAAAAAAAACTTAATTAATATTTTTTTTTATTAAAAAAAACCAAAATAGTTATATTATACTGAAGTACTGTATTAATTAAAAATTATAATAGACATGCCTAAACAATTAATTTATCTTTTTATAATAATGTTATTATAAAAAGATCATTCTGAAAATTTTTTTTTATTAAAAGGATTTTCCCATAAGTAAATATTATTTCTTTATTTAATATTGTATGTAACAAGATATATATTATGAAAAAAACATCTTTTTCATTATTTCAAGAAAGTTAAATACTAGCTTAATTACTTAACATTATTTAATCAATATCATAAAAAATTTCAAAAACAATATTATAGTACTAGATAAAGCTAAGTAGTGGTTATATCTACCAACTTAAGAAGTTTTATAAAATCTTTTAATTTTTTGAATATATAAAAAATAAAAATATGTATAATGATAAAATAACTAAAGCTGAAACTAAACCAAATAAACAATAGAATTTTTAATAATAAAGTTTATATATCCTAAGAAATCCCTTGTCTAGTTATCAAAACTGGAGTTTATTAAATTTTTTTATTGTTGACATATGCTTTGATAACAAAAAAATTATAATGTAATTGATATTGTTTGAAGTTATTGTTATTATTATTGTTGTTATTATACTAAAAAACCAGTTTAAACAAATTCAGTTTTTGCTTTGTTATTTTGACAAAATCTGATTGGATAATTGAAAAGTGATAATCATATAAAGAGATAAACTGATTTTAGTTTTTTGAATAAAAATTTTTGAAAATTTTAAAATGGCATAGCAAATATTGCTACAGTAAAATTGTATATAAAGGTTGATTTAAAACAAATATAAGGTTTTATAACTTTATTTGAATGTGTTTTTTGAAAAGTATATAGTTTACTGAGTATAGTAATATTGATGTAGATGGTTTTTATAATATAATAAGAATAAAAACATATACAAAAGAACAAAAGAACAAAAAAAAAAA